AGGCTTAGAAACCCCTCCCCCTCTCCTTCGTTTTACGCCCGAATTTACATATGCAGAAATTAAGAGGGGGGTCAGGACATCCGGACCCCCCTCTAAATCCGCCCCTGGCCGTGTGTTCATTGCCGGTACCACGGCGCATGCGCCGGCGAGCACAAATCTGAAAAACAAAATGCTTGTGCCAGCTGCGAAGTTTTTGGGGTAGAACCCAGGTTCCTGTGCTCCTGAAGTATTAATCCACTCTGCCACGAGTCTTTATATTCTCTTTAATACATGGAAATAAAGCCTGCGGCTGCAGAATATCAGGTCAAACGCTCATTAACAAGACAACTAAGGATCATGGCCCGGGGGGAGGGGAGGGGAAGCACTGCCCCCCCCCCCCGGATCTCGCCAAGGGGGGGGGGGGGGGGGGAAGCACGAGCCCCGACGCCCCCTCCCCCGTAGTCTACGCCTATGGTCTTTAATGCGTACTTTATCTATTTAATAAGTTATATCGCAACGTTATTAAGCCCCTCGTAAAGTTTTGGGGTGCATTAATGGGACAAAAGGGTGCAAGGTGATACCCTTTTTTTTAGAGTGTAGTGAAGTGTTTCTTTTTTGGTGGTGAGGGTCTTGACGTATATATAAGGGCGTTCGTTGTGCAAATAAACTATACCCGTTTTCTCAAGAAAAAAAATAAAGTTTTGAGCAGTGTTCGTATGCGCGACGCGAAGTCTTACAAGATTTGGTTATAATGTAGAAAACCCGAGACTGTGGTAAAAGTAAGGAAACGGAGTCGAAGAAGAAAGACAGGGGAAAAGAACGTCGTTTTGAGACGGTCTTTTCCCCTGCCTTTCTTCTTCGACTCCGTTTCCTTACTTTTACCACAGTCTCGGGTTTTCTACATTATGATCAACATCCACCAGCTCGCCTGCGCACTCACAGTTTTTTCAAGATTATGTTGTCGGAGAAAAAAGCGATGATTTTGGCGCTAGAACGTGTACGTCTTCATAATATATATCGTAGAATTCACCTACATATATCTCAATTCTCCGCATAAAGATGGAAATTAGTGATGGTTCGCGAGGAGTTGGATTTTTGTTTTTATTAGGGTTCTTGACGCGAAAACGGGTATAGAAGTGTTATAACGACCCATCCGTTCTTGACGTGAAAACGGGTATAGAAGTGTTATAACGACCCATCCGGTCGAGGCGGGGAGGCCCCCCAATTAATTCTGATATAGAAGTGTTACAACGAAATGAACGGTTTTGTAGACTGCAAGACGATTTAATGAAAACTTTGTGAAATAATTTGATACAAGAGGGCTTTATTCGCGTCCGTTCTCGTTCCTCTAACGTCGTGTTTCTAGGGGTCCTCCTTTCTCCTTCCCACACCGGGATCCAGCGTCGGGGGTCGAATTCGAGCTCCCATCCGGTCGAGGCGGGGAGGCTCTCCTTACGGTTCTTTACCGCCAGCGTATTCACTTACACTCCTGAGCTCAAAATCTTTGCGTCCTCGCAAATCTTGTTATTGTTGTCGTGATCCTCCGTTATGCGTCTAGCCATCGTGGAGGGCGGCGTCCTATGGCGGCGTTGGCGTGAAGCGCGTGTAATCGGAGGATCTGCCGCGGTCATAGTGGCCGCGGTGCAAGGCGAGTCGGCGAGTCGATGTCGATCGCTGTTTGTTCGTGAAAAAAAAATATATATATATAAAAAATAGAGCTGTTGCACGGCAGCTTGGCGGCAATCCGGTGTGCCTTGCGGGATAAACCCGAAAATGGTGTAAGTTTGCTTGTCCACGTTAGAAAAGCGGACCAAGTTTCGAGGTACGAAGGCCGTTCGTGTACCATACCCTGCGTGCTTTGCATCGTAGGAACGCTTCATGCCATGAAGGTAAGCGAGGTTCGCAACTTCGCGTTTGTAGCGTCGCAGTTCGCGCGGACGTCGCCGACCTCGTTGACCTTGTCGGGAAGCGGGGAAAATTCCATTGGTCGACGTGGGACAGAGTTGAACAGGAGTCCGAACAGTGATGTCTGGAGTCCGGCGTGCGGCTACTAGTGCGGCTGCTGGTTCACTTGAGAGCTGGTTGCCTGCAGTTGACGTTCTTTCGCAGACATAGAAGGGTTTTTCCGTTGGCGCGTTCGACAAAGCCGTTAGCTTCGGGAGTGTAATGTAGACTGTTAGGATGTTCTAAATGTGCCTGTCAGCGAAGTACCGCGGAGCCGAACGAGAGGTTAGGACCCTGTCGTTGTCGGTGATGAGGGCTTGCGGCGTACGGAATGAGAGTACGAGTTCTAGAAATCGAAGGACGTGCTCGGTCGACTTGTCAGGCAAGGGGCGCGCGACAAGCTCGTGGTGAGGTCGAACGCGGTGATGCAGTATCTGTTGTCGTCGCTCCTCGTCTTGCGGAGGATTTACGCCGCGGCTGCGGCCGGCGGCATATTCTCTTACAAAACAGAATAAACAAGACACCGGAGTACCTGATTCTCCTAACGGACGCACTCTTCACAGCGAAGACAATGTGACTCTCCAGAAAAATAAATAATAAAAAAGCGTGTTTCTTTTTATGGTATGTGCATCCTGTTTTCTAAATTCAAACGACTCCTTTCTCTCTCCCCCTCACTCTATAATTTACCCCCTTCCCTCTTCCGCGCCACGCCGCCGCCGATCCGTTGACCCCCGCGCCGTCAACACGCCGCCGCCGGAGGTACAAACACCGGCGCGCCGCCGCCGGCGATTTCCGACCGGCGCTCAGGTCTAGTTAATAGAGTTAATACACTGATCTCTATGACAATTGCTGGATCGCGCTTCCCCGTTTGTTCGCTGCAGCGCAAGTGAAGCCACCGGACTTCACTCGCTTGAGATACGATTTGCCGTTTTTGCTAGCCTTTGCTGCGGTTTTCCAGCGTGCTGCAGACACGTTTTCTACTCGTTCGTCGTCATTCGCCGAGGAAGTTTTTCGAGACTCTGTGTATTGTTGAGACTTGCCGTTGTGAACACGTGGAAAATTTTACGAAAGTGCAGTGTCGCAGGAAAAAGGCACAACGCGTCGAAAGGAAGGGCTGGCGGCGTGTTCAAAGCTTCCTTGGCACGCCGAAGTGCCGTGTCTCTGTGCCTTCGCACGCTTGGATACCGACCAAGAACCGACGCCGTGTGTATGTGTTTAGCGAGCGCAATGTGCGTGAAGCTGTTCGTGCCTCTGGATCAGCATCTTTTCCCCTCGCGGTTTAGGAACGAGCTTAATCCAGCGTCCACTAGCGACGGAAGATGGGGGGAAGGTACGTCTTTCTTTCGTCCTTAGACGATTTACACAATACCGTGCACAACAGCTCCTCATCACTGATCAGTGCTGGCTTATTATCAACCTACTTAATTGCACTTGACGTTTGAGCGCGGCTCGCCTAATTGTAATTGGTCAACAGATTGCACACGACCATATCGGCCGCGCTTCAAAGATTTTCATTCTCGCCGTCTTGTACTTTTGCTTTCAAAAACCCCCCTGACTCCACAACGTTGCCCTATTCGTGCTCCCACGGAATCTATTAGAGTAGATTTGGGACATAGCCATGGTTAATATAGTACATAAGAACACGTACATATCTCCCCCTTTTATTGATAGCAACTCACCGGAACAGCTGGACGATCCAGAACTCCGTGGCCGATATATATAAATGATCTAAAGGCATCTACGCGCGACACACGTTCAGAACTTTGGCGCGGCGTCAATTCTTGACCGGTATCCAAGCGTGCGAAGGCCCAAAGATGCATCACTCGGCGTGCCAAGGAAGCTTTGATCACGCCGCGACACCGGCGACACGTTTTCGACGAGTTGTACCTTTTGATACGGCTTCACGCACATTGCACTCGCTAAACACATTCACACGGCGTCGGTTCTTGGTCGGTATCCAAGCGCGCGAAGGCACAGAGACACGGCACTTCGGCGTGCCAAGGAAGCTTTGAACACGCCGCCAGCCCTTCCTTTCGACGCGTTGTGCCTTTTTCCTGCGACACTGCACTTTCATAAAATTTTCCACGTGTTCACAACGGCAAGTCTCAACAATACACAAAGTCTCAAAAAACTTCCTTGGCGAATGACGACGAACGAGTAGAAAACGTGTCTACAGCACGCTGGAAAACCGCAGCAAAAGGCTAGCAAAACGGGAAATCATATCCCAGCGGGGTTGCGTCCGGTGGCTTCACTTACTATGGCCCATAGAGATCATACATACTAACTCTAGAGGAAAAGGTCCGCCATTTTCCCATACATTCTGGCTGCCGCAAGCGGCGGATCATGCAGGCAGACCCTCGGGGTCCCAAACACGATTACATCATCAGAGCAGTTTCGTGAACTTCAACAATCCACGAACTTACCGGTGGAAAGATATTCGCGTTCCTTTCGAAGCTTTCTTTTTGCATAGCGCGCAGATGTACGGCCTCGCGTTAACGCTAAACTAAACCATTTACCCGGCTTCGCCGGTGGGGCGCGGCTGGGCGCGGTTGAGGAATACGAAACTGCGCAACCACCAGATTTCCGAGATTTCGACAGAAGGGAAGTTAATGCAGCGTAATGACTTTATTGCTTTTTATAAGCGTTAGAATAGCTCAGAATTTAGTTTACAACGTTAAATTATCACTGTTTATATTGCTGAGAGTTTTCACACTTCGCGTTTACCATGGCAACGTTGCTTTCTTTCTCTTGTGTTCTGTCGCTCTCTTTTGCGATCGTTCACTCGGGACCCCGGGTGTCGGCGCACGGGATTTGCCACTCCTCCTCACCCACCTTTACCCCCCTGCTATGGCCACGGTACTGCCTATGGTACTGCACGGTACGGGAGTCAGATCAAGTAAATTTTGGCCGTAGCCAATAAGCGCATTAAAAGGTGTTAAACGACATCTGTTTTTTTTTTTTTTTTTCATTTGTTCCAGTCTCAGGTTTTCGTTCATTTCTAACCACCTCGCCTGCACCTCCTTGCATGATCAATTTTACGTATTTAGGGAATTCGAAACGGCGCTAGACGGCAACATTGGACACCGACAACTGTCGCCATCTGGCAAGAGGAAGTGGCTCTTCTCGCTGCTCGTCTGCCCGGAAAATGCCCACATGCCCACTTGCTGTTCCGCAAAATGACGTCCCCGTCCTTGGCTGACGTGTGTTAAAATGAGTGGGTGAATTTGCTGTGTGTTTCAACGTCGCATCATGTGTTTATAAACATTTCGGAGGCCTCACCTTCCCCCACCCGAAAGCTTGGGCGCCCGGTACGTATTCGAGGCTATTGCTAGCACAGTGCGAGACGCGCGACGCTTATGTGACCCCGATTTTGACGTACCGCGGTACTAGAACCAGGATGTCGCGTCTTGTCCTTGTTTGGCGACCGTCCGACGTTCACAAACAACTTTCGCGGTTGACTTGAGACGACCATCCAAAGCAATCTTAAACGAAGAAACTTCGTGAATGATTTCATTTCGTTTACGGTCACGGCGGGCACCACAGACCTGTGCCACAGACACTGTTCGCCCCTTCAAACGTGGCACAACAAAACAGTTTCTGCCGTTGTTGCGCAACAAGATGTGGTTACAAGCGACTGGTCACCGCAACCGCGCATAAGTTACATCTGCTGGCCACGTACCAAACCAACAATACCGAGCTGCGCTCGATAGTGGCCTTGTGACGGCGACCAAGGCTGTTTTGGTGTTAGGATCGCTTCGTAAGTTCGGGTGGGATTTTTGAGACCTTCGAGAAAACGGAAGTCCTATCTATCGCAAGTGCTGCGCCTTGTCCTCAACTTAGCGCACGCACGGCGGTAATTGACGATGGTTACGGGATCCCGTGTAAGTTGCCGATTTCTGGCTGCGCATTGCGCATTGATAAAACGCCGATACGTTCTTGGTTCAAGAAACAACAGACGAGAGAGCCGTCACAAAGAAACTATCGGCTGCTACACTGACATGAGAAGTTGCTATCTACAAACGTTGCTTCTCTTTTCTTTTTTTTTTTTTACGTATATTTACGTATATACGTACGTATATTTGCATCTCGGATGACTCCATCTTGGAGGTAAAGTCATCTGAGTGGCGACCCTGAACTCCAACATTTTGCTTTCTGTGAAAATCATCTGTTTCTTGCGAGCAGCTGGCCGATTGTGTGCGGAAACCGATTGAGCTCGCACGTACTTGTTACCAGGCGGCGAAATAAACAAAAGGTGAATAAATGTTTCCCTCGTAAAAATAAAGATGGAGTGGGGACGGCTCTGTGTACAAAATCAGCAGGTGTTGGAGGCGCACAGCGCTACGTCAGCTTAGCGCGATCGCCGCCCTATCGCGATTCAGGCTTGCCGCTGGTTCGTGTGGGTGCGTACTCCTGTCCGTTCGTGGTCGCCACAGTAAGCTTTCTACACCGTTTTCTTTCGAGTAGTGCGGAATTGTTTAGTTTTTCGTAGCTGGCTCAGCAAAAACAAGGGCCACCTGGGGAATACGCGCCATAAATAGTGATGCCTTCGTTAACTTCCGTATGCCACTCCATAGATCAGAACTAGCTCTCAGTGCTGGTAGCTTCTTTGAAGAGCGGACAATTTTGCACATGACCCTGAAGCTACCGGTGCCATGTTAGAGTCCCGTGTTCGCAGCACAGACTTTCGTCTGCTAGGAACTGCAATCTTTTGGTGGTGTGGAATTACACATTGCGAAAGTGCTGTGGAAGGTCACCTCTAGTATGCATTCAGCAGTCACAGGCTCAGCTATGGTCGCCCTTGAACACCTCTGTTAAGTGTGTTTTTGCGGGTAGTAGCTGAAATATTGATTTTTTTGTGCCATAACTGTGTAACGCAATGTAAAACAGCAGGAAAATTTCAATACTTTTCTGGGCTCTGGATCATATTGTGACCTTCTTCAGTCAATTATTCTCTGCGGACAATGTAACATATCTGATCCTATATTGACAATCTTTAAATGTTACATATCATTCTCTTGGAGCTAGTGCGTTCTTGGTCTCTTGTAATGGTGCAAGTTGCTTTGAAGAAATTCTTAAATATTTTCTTGTCAATTTTGTTTAGGCAATCCACTTTCATAGAAAATGTTTGAGAATTGTTGGGATTGAATCTTTTCTACATCCAGCAAATTTAGTGTAGCCCCTTTTTAAGTGACTTTCTGAATGCTTTCAGTATTAAAACCGTTACCACGGCGAGTAAGCTACCTTCAGCACAAACCATGTATACTGCTTGCACGGAAACTAAAAGACGGGAAACTTCGAAGGGATTTCCGCTTCTGGGCAATTTTAGTCTCTTATGGTTGAGTACCTAGGCATGTGTAAGGGCCCATCCCCAATGACTGGATCATTCTAATTCAATAATATGTTTACTACAAAACTTATTCCCTGGCATATCAGCAGTGAATCTTTCATACCTCCATTGTAATGAGTAAAAAATAGGTGTATTAAAGATTGGTAAACAAGCATGATGCAAAATTTGCTGTCAACAGCTAAGTTTAAGGCGAAGTAAAGACTAAATGCACTGTTACTATGTTGCAATGAATGTTTGCTTTCAACTGGACAATTTTTAGAAACTTCCTGAGCCCAAGATGTTCAAAAAAGCCTACATAATACTATCAGCTTCTCTTGCTTGTTAGGTAATTTTGGTAGAGTAGAGAAAGCAAGTGGTAACAGTAGTGTTCAGCATTTCTTCAAGTTGTCGTTAATGCCTACCTTAGACTGATTGTTCCAGTTTGATGGCATTACCCATCGATAATCGAATACTGTTCAAACCCCATGAACTTTTTGCACACCTTAACTTGACGTTGCTGTACTTTGCTCGTTGCAACTATATGGTCGTTAGCCTCTGCCCCAGCTCTTCGAAGCTACACTGTTGCAAGTGTGTTCTTGACCACTGCCCCTTTGCTCCTTTCATAAGTTTATAATTTGATTGTTGGGCATTGCTTAGCAGGGTTAGTGGGTGTGGAGCTTTCTGACTAGCTTTCATGACCTATCTTCATTGCGAGTTGCAGGCTAAGTTTTCGTACGTGTATGAAAGGGACTGTCACTGTCTGTTTTCTGAAGGAAGATTTGTGCATAAATGAATTATGATTATAGTGAAATATCTTCCTGGTTAGGTGAGAAACTTGGTTCCAGAACTGTAACTGCTCTTCGATTAGCGTTGCAAAGCTTCCATTCATGTTCACTCTTTTGCGTAAAGTTGCCCGTTGCAAGTTGCTCACCCTTTCATCTGTACATCAAGAGATGTCTCAAGACCAACTCTGGGTGTGGCTTAAAAAACTTTTCTTATCCACTCTTAAAAAAAAAATAGTCATGCCTCTTGTAGCTTGCAACAAATTGGGTGTAGCATGATCTCCCCGCATGCAGAATCCTTGTCGCAAAAGTTTTCGTCATTAGCCCCACGTTTCAAAAACCCCGTGTTCAACTACACGGTCCCGTATTCCCCCTGGGCCAAAAGCCCCGTCCTCGCTGCTGCCATCCCACTTTCTTTGCGCTTCAACCAGCATTGTTCTCTGTCTTAAAGAAAGGGTCTTTTCAGTTAAAGTAACAACGAAATAAAGTTGACTCGAACCGCAATATAACTGAGAATGACATAGTATACAAGTGACCAAATGCATAAATCTGCATAACCAGCAATGCACTCCGCTGTCATAGAGGTATATTCTGACATAGAATTATAGCCTTCATCTGCCTAGGTGGGTACAAATATTTTTAGAATGACGTAAGACAGGCACGTAGTCAGGGGGAGGCCCATGGGGCCCAGGCCCCCCCCCCCCCCCCCTCTTTGCTGAGACCTCCTCTCCCCCTCCCCCCATAAAGCATTTTGCCTAAGCGGACAGAAGGCTCGTAAGCTGAGGTGTGATGCTGGGCCAATGATATTCAACCACGTTCACACGCTCCTCGCCCGAATCGGATCAATCGGTTTGATTACGCAGCAAAACTGAAACCAACAGCTAGGCCATCTGGAAACGATGCCAAAAGTTGTATTTAGCACGCGTGCAGCCAGATTCTGTTTGACCCGCGTGTGAAAATGGAGCACGGCTACGATTCGCCAAGCTCGTCCAGGTGACAACATGCATTTGAACGATTCGCCGTTTGCCTTCGACCCGCGAACATCGCCTCCAAGGGAACGACTTGCAGCCTCATCACCGATCCAGGGGATCCGCCGATTCGATACAAGTACCCAGATGCCGCTTCAAGTACCTTCGCATGCCGCTTCAGAAGCAATATCTGATTCCTTTGCTTTGCAACCGCTCCTAGTTTGATCGTCGCAGTTGTGTTCGCGCGAAACGCCATAATTTTGTTCAAAGCTTAATGACTGTTTTCGAGTAATATCCTGCTAAAAGGCGTGAATCGTTTTGCACACGCTTGGGAACTGCATTAAAAGGACCGTATTTCAGTAGGGTACAGCCTAGCAGGCTATAATTCAAAACCAAATGCAAGACACCCATCGACCACCGCTTGTTATCGCGACCATCTGACAAACCTTTGCGTTTTGTGACGTCACGCAGCAGCTACGGATGTCAGCCATTGACACTGGCGAAATTCGGGGTGCAGTTTCGTACATCAGCTCATGAAAGTTTTCGTTAATAAGGGGAGATCATATATCAAAATAAAAATGACGATTGTCTAGATGAAGGCTCCCTCGACGTAACGAGCGCAAAAACTTAAGTACTTCTGGTTTGGGCCGGACAATCCCTTCAAAGGAAACTTTGGAAAAAATTCACCGAAAATTCGGCAAACGTCTGCGCACGCATGAAAATGTGGGGCCATGAATTGCAAATGGATCCCATGCGGTCATGCGGTTACTGTCGTACAGCGTAGTACTACCAACGGTTACTGCGAGGTGCGGAGTATATGGTAACTGTGTGTTTGTCAGCCTTTATGAGTGTAGTTCTCTTCAATATTTTCTGCCTCAAAGACAGAGCATCGACCAGGAAGTGAAGCAGCCCACTGCGCAAGTGACAGATGATGCATTCTGGATAATGCGATTTTCATTCGATCCTTCCAGTGATGCAACGAGGTAGTTGCAACATCGACTGACAAGTACTTTAGAGCACTCCTTGCAATAATAGCAATCCTGTTTTTAACTCGCTAGTAGTTTGTACCAGAATATTATTGCTTTTTAATTAGCGTTATTTCACAGTTTTCATCTATCCGCATAAAACTGAACACAAAACTCATATGCTTGATGCTGCACCTCTGGCATTTCTAACTCTTCCCATCTTCCTAAACGTCCACATGTGTCCTAACATCCAAAAACTGGCATTTTAAAAGCTAAAAACGACGTTGCAAATAGAGGACTCGCGCTTCCATACAAAGCTGGCATCAAGAGACTAATCGAAAAAAACGTGCATACTTACAATAATATTCTCTTTTTTGGTGCAGGCTCTGCAACCGTTGCATTCATTTTTACGCATGAAACAGTGACTCGCAGAGTAAATAAGGACACAGGTGTTACCACCTTTATTTTAACAATGTGCAGGCTTGCACTGGATGAGGCCTCAAAACCGAAACTCGCATATCGTGACTGCCCTTGTTACTACCCAACCACGTTGTCACACCACTTCTGCAGGAAGTCACTAAAATTGCCAGTAAACACAAAAATGACACCAATACAATTATCTCGTTGAGCATTGCCTTGTTTAGTAATAACTGTGTCAATATGCATTATATGTGACATTTAAGCTTAAAAAAGATACTAGCTAGTAAAAGCAAAATATCAACTTTTGAGTCTGGCAACAATGTATCTTTGCCGAATCTTTAGAAAAGTTCAGCAAAATTTCGGCTTGCGAATCCTAAGATTCGGCAAAAGTTTGGCCCATCGCTACTGTTAGTCTTGCTTGCTGAAAAGCACAATAAAATCAAAAACCTAAAAAAAAAATTTAAAAATTAGAAAAAAAAAATGTTTTTTAGTCCCTTACACATCACATGAAGGTCCCTGTGACCTGATAAGATAATTGCAGACATCCTTCTGTCATCCTCCTTTTCATGGTTACTTCAAGGAACAGGGACATGCTTTCATTTAAAAAATAATTAGCCTGTTTTTACTTATGGATTTACCCCCCTCTCCCCCATCCCATTTTTGTAATGCTATATCTCCATCCAATCATTTTACATTAAAACCTAATCTGTCATTTTTGGCGATTCAAGGAATGTGTTCACCTTTCCCCAGCCACTCAGTTCGTAGAATCAAAAGTTTGCAATAACTAAAGTTGGCAGCTTTTTCTAATGGCACCGTTCTCCACAAAGAGTAGATATTTAATTGTTATTCTTTGTTGGAGTGTGCTCTCACAATATTTACCTCCTGAGCACGAGCACGTGCGATTTCGACAAGGGCCAGTGCTGCGTCTGGGTGGGATTCAGTGTGGTGTGGCTTTCCTCCAGAGCAGATTATCCGGCATGGCCTTCCATCTTGGGTCTGTGTAAGGGGTGCTGCAGTTTTAGCTCTGTACCACGGTTGACAATTTTTGAGAGCTGATTTCTGGTTTATTTTTTTTAGGGGATCTTGTAAACAACTATCCCAAAATAGCTTTGCTAACAGGTTTCTCATGTTTCTAGGAATTTAGGGGAAGAATTTTGTATTTGCCACTTATTATTTATTGGAGGCAGTGCTACCAAGAAAAATCATATTTTCAGGTGGCACTGCACCAGCTCATTCAGGGAATAACTTCGCGCAGTTATAAAACTGATTTTTCCTAGAAGAGCTCTTCCTTCAAAACCGAAGTTGTGACAGCAAAAGTGCATTATTTTAGTTGCTTTTATTGTTATTTGTCATTCCTGGTTTTCTTTCTAGTGCACATACAAAAGTGGAGAAGGGCACAATCCACTTGTACACTTTAGCTACTGTCTCCGAGGGTAGGAATATCAGTGAAGAGCTAACTGTCTAACATCTGTCATGAGCCCGCCAGTTTTTCTAGCATCGACCGCTTGTGCACACTCAAAGCTTGTGGCACCTCAGGACACCGTCGAAGTCAGAAAGCTTGCACCGATGGTCAGAAGAGTGAAAGGCCTTTTTGTCAGTCTATAGCCGGCAGTGACTAACAAGGCTCATTGTTTTTGTCAGAAATTGCAGTGTTTTAAATCTCATCGTCGAAGTTGGCTTGATGCATTCAATGCTTTCTGCATATTGAGTTTCTTTGGTACCTCATTTACAGGTTCTGTTCCTGACACTGCCTGAGAAGCGGTCCGTGTAGTACGCTTGACACCTGCAGCTGGGACCGGAGCAGCCATGGACGACGGATTTGACCCGTGCGAGTGCATCTTCAGCCATGACGCGGCCATGCAGCGGCTCATCTCGCTGGTGAGCGTTGCTGCAAGCTTGGACGAATGCTCTCCTTGTCTCTGCCACCGTTTGCCGTTCCAACAATTTCTCATTCCTTCGTAGCTAAGAAGCTCTCAATCAACCTGCACAGATTCGGAATGCTACCAAGACCGTGAGTGTTTGCCCTTCTTGCTTTTTCACTTTGAGATATCATACCTTTTTACCAAAATAGGTCATTGAGCTAGTTGAGGTTAGTTAAATATGCTGAACATACTTATGACTGCCTGGTAGCAGAATGACCTGCTGCTAGCCCTCTGTCTCGGAGTTTTTTTTTTTTGAAGTACAGTCTCATACCCAGGTGGTGTCGACTTTCTCAATCCTAGACCATTTTGATCAAAAGACAAGGTTAAAAAACGATTTACAAAAATGTCCAAAAGCTCTGCAGGTCCTTCGTGCTCTAGAAATTTCAGAATACAGTTGTGCCAAACCCCTGTCCACCATGCGTCATGTGACTGAGACTGTGCAGCGCTTTCCAACCATGCTTTTGACTGATGGTGTGCCCTCCAGGTTTTGAGAAATTATCTAGGGTTCCCACAGGTGCTACACACTTTGGCAGTCCTTGAATTTAATCCCCTGAATATCAGTTATAATAGTGGAGTTTGACATTTGATTCCAGAATATTTCTATAGCAGTATTAACATTGTTGTTAAAACCCTTGCTTGTTAGGTCAGTGTCCGGCCTCATAATTGAGAGCTATACAGCCCTTCAGAGTAATCCTTCTTGTCACTGTTGTGTAGTTAAAATCTGGGGCCAGAAGGAATGCCTTTTAAATAGGGAGACCTCAAAGTCATGTTCCAGCATTCATGAAGTTTGGATATGGAACCTGGAGTGGTTGGGAAAGGACACCAAGCTGTTTGAATATCCTTTGATAGCTTTGTAAGGTGTGATTGCCTGTGGGTTCTGTCTAATTACCTTAATTAATCTAGAACCACAGTAAAGGTGAGACAAGTACCACTGTACATTACTTGTATCCTGTACATAATAATGTATCCTGTACATTATTTGGTAGGTCAGGAGGGATGGTAATTTTGAGTATTCTTTTTATGTTTTGGGTTAGGAAAGTATAACAGGAAGCTGAGCGTACCCATGTTTTGAACTATGGCAATACCTAATCTCAGGGATGGGTGGCTCGGGCAAGATTTTAATTCCTATAAACCATGCACATGTTGCAATGCTGGCCGCTAAGCCCCTGAAGGTTAAAGGAATGTCCTAGATTTCGACATCACTTTCTTTTCTAGATCATTCCTGAATTCCAGCTATTTCTTTCTGTTAAGGCCATTCACTGGGTTCGTGGCCGCGAGTAATCGCGGAGATATGGTAATGATTTAAGGGGCCCATGAAACGAATTTTGGTTGGGATAAATCGTTTTAGATTGGGATTTCACTAATAGCACATCGTTCAGTGAACCAAAAGAAAAAACGTAGAAAGTCAAAAGCCTGACTTTCAGTGCGAAAATTGGAAAACACAGTGGACTATTTTGTACCTCCTCCCCTTCGTAAGCTCTCTGCCTTTTCACTGTGATACATCCGCGGTCCCAAAAGCGCATCATCAGGTCTAAACGCACGTCACACGAAACCGGACCTCACTTATTCCCTTCAACCCTAGGCTGACATTGTGGTGGAAGCTACGCGCTTGCCGGACCAATCAGCCGTTTCCCTTTCATCACGTGACCTCATTCTCCGCGCGTCGGTATGCGCGAAGGAGCGTGATCAAGTGTGACCTGGCCCAACGAGCACGTAGCTTCCACAGCACTGTCAGCTTCGGGGTGAACGGGTTGGGGAAAGCAACGTTTGTCTTAATGTTGAGCGACAGGCTAATCTTCTAGGGGACAATGGCTCTGTCCGGGTACACAAACCAGATTCCGAACAAGAGGGGCCTCCCCACTTTTCGTCATCTTGAACTGTTTGGTGGAATGCGTGGCTTATGAGTTGTGGAGGAAAGCTAAACAGGAAAAAGTTTGAAAAGCGTTTCATGACCCCTTTAATGTTAACTTCAGTATGGTGACCAATTAAAATGAATAACAAAAAAGAGCTCTCCATTTTTGCCTCTTTCCTCACTTCCTCTGTTGAAGATTCACCAACATTTGCAGCAATCGCCACTGCCTTCCTTCTCCATAGGGTATTGTGCTGAAAAGCATTCTGATCTAGCTACGGTTACTCTACCATATTTTCTACATTTGGGTTGAAAAAAAAAAAAGGTTTTCGTTAGAGATAGTTTGCGTCCTGTGCATCATCCGCACCCAGTGCATAGACTACACCACGCACATAGTTTGCACTAAAAAATATTCATACACAGCACACCTCAAGGAATGGCTGCTGCATTAGCATGCAAAAAAGCTTGTATCATACGTAGGGTTGTTCGTTTTCGGGTTTTATATTACTTTAAATTCGGGGGGTATAAATCGGGTGATATTTTTCAAGCTGATAAACGGGGAGAAATCGGGTTTTTTGTGGAAATATTCCGAAATTTGGGTTAAATTTAAAAATATACTCAGCAACACAATTGTTTTGTTTTTCTTTTAATCGAAGCGTATTACGAGTTTCTTGACACTAACGCGTTAAAATTAGGGGTATGTTTCAACCTGGTAATCGGGAGAACATCAGGGTTTTCTAGCTCCGATTGTTGCCGGTTGCTTCAATGGAAGCACCGCCCACGGAATCCTCTTCTCCCTCAGGTGTTAACAAAAACCACTGGCCGTTTGATGGATGGTCGTCTTCGATCAGATATTTCGCTATGGGATAAACTTTTTTAAGTTTTCCCGATCTGTTTACGCGACGACTGATTGGCTCGGACGTTGTTCGTGAGAAAGGTTGGACACCAGCAAGATGGCCATGCTACCCGAGAGACAAGGCTCGGCGTCGACACCTCAGCGGTCAAAGGGGGATTGATAGTGCATTTCACAAGCTGCGTGCAGCAGGGACAAAGCTACGTGGCGTGCTGAGGCGGTTCCGCCTGCACAGCGCTGCACGCAGCTTGCGAAGTGAACTATAGGTCACTGTTGTCCCGAGGTAGGGTAGCTAGCGTGTGCGCACTGCAAACTCCGTGGGGCGTAAAAATAAATAGGTTGGTTATGTGGCTTTGGAATTTGGGGAGAAATCGGGTTTAACCCGATTTCTCAAAACAAACAAAACTCAAAACAAAATTAAGTTTGTTCAGCAGTCCAAGAAGTTGCCTAATGGGAACTATTAAGCAGGGGACACGTGAGCGATGAAAACGGGGAACGCTCGGCACTTTTCACGGCAACTTGCACGGACTCTGTGACGTGGACCTATGCCATGCCGCCACATCACGGCGTCCGCGGAAGTTGCTATGGAAATTTCCGCGTGGTGCCTGTTTTCATCATTTGTGTGCCCTGCTTGATCTCTGTTGAGTGTGCCTCTTATCGAGCACCGGTGCACTGCAGAGAAGCAACACCCGTGGAAGCAAGCTCCGCGGGTGTTGCCTCTGTGCACTGCACCGGTGCTCGGAAAGAAGCGCACCCAACGGGGCCGCACGGACAAGAAGTATGAACCACCGTGAAAAACATCGTTTTCACTAACCAGGTTATGAGTACATTCAAAACATAGTGAGACAACAAACATTTTGAAATTTGTTTGAATTAACCAAAAGTATGAAATATCAGAGTTTGAATTATCGCGAGCCTACTGTACAGTCGAGCCCGGTTATGTCCCACTCGGGTATTTCGAATTATTGTTTATATCAAACAGACCAGACATTCGCTTGAAAATCACATGTAATAGTATAGGAGCATTGTCTTTTTGTATCCAACTCTCATGGCGGGGACACTCGATATAGCGAACGAAGCCCGGCCGCCCGTTGCTTTTCGCGCGATCCGATTGCGCCGGTGAAGAGCACATCGCTTGCCTTGCGTGGCTGGCAGACCGCCAAACCAGGATGCTCGCTAGAAGATACGCAACAATAGAGCAGTTGTAAAAAAAAGAAAAAAAAAGTGGAAGATGGAAAATGCGAGGGGAAGGGCGCGCCCACGTGTAGAAAGAGCTGGGTGCCTACATGTTTCCGCTCGGCGGAAACATGTAGCACCCTAGGAAGGGCAGGTAGTGCCCGCTGTCGGAACGGTAGCCTGTGCCCTTTCCCCCAACACTGCTGATACTGCGCGACTCCCTGTCCCCAAACAAAATTAGCAAAAAAATTAAAAAATAAGTCTTGGGCAAGTCGAGTGTGTTGACAACAACGGTTGTGCAATCGCACTTTGAAGGCTTGAGCTTTGTTTACCTTTTTCTTTTGCCGTTATTGCTTCTCTTTTCTTTTTTTTTTTTTTTGCTGTCTGAATTTAGCGAGCTTTCTTTTTTGTTGCTTGTTTAATCCATAGAAACAAGTTCTATGGATTAAACAATTTTATTTTTATAAGTCTCGGTTTTTCAGGTTTTTTTTTTTTTTTTTTTGTGTGTTTTGTTTATGTTGTGTGGAGGTCCTATCCAGGCGGGCGTGTTAGCGCGGAGGTGTTTGCAGTCTCCGCCAACTACGCTCTACTGTATTGCTCTACTGCATTTAGCGGCTCTTGGATGCTCTATTTCGTAAGCTCCCGTTTGTCGCGACCTTCAGTATTAGCCGAGACGCCAGGAAATTTCAACTGGAGCTTAAGTAACATATTTTTGTATATTGAATTATTGATATATCAAACTATTTTACGATCCCTTTTGAATTCAATATATCTGGGTTCGACTGTATTAACATTATCTCTCATTCACAAAATTGGTCTGATCTCGTCTTAATGAATGATCTTGAAAAATAAACCCTTGTATAGTCCACACCTGTAGACAATCTGCACCGCATAAAGTTTAATCTTTTAGACGCGTAGTCTCAAAAATAGAGTTGTTTGGGTTCGCTCTATCCCGGTTTCCGCTGTTCGGAATTTCAGTAAAAACTGGCCTGTAACCTGAAAGGAAAAACCCCAGCTCCTCTTTCCTCCTTGGCTTTTTTTTCCTCAGTTGACATTTTACTAGGCCAGCATTCTTGGATCTATTGTGCTGTTGCCGTGAAGGTCGCAAGCTGTTTCCGAATGCTCTCACCGGCAATTGTGATCCTTGGCTGCGGCTTGAACAACGATTTTTACTGTTGAGGGAGCACCAATGCTGCCATTTTCTTGTGAAC